TCTTGAACTGCACGAGCAACATGTTTTGAAATGGTTTTACTGGTTTATTACTGTCGTGTAATTTATGAATATCCCAAGCAAAGATGCCAGTGTAGTAGTGATGAGTAGCATAATTAATGCTTGAAGCACTTGCTAGCAGCAAGCCCAATGAATAAGGTGTGCAAGGTCCATAAATTTTTTCCTGCATATATGCATGCTCTCTGGGTGGCTGGTTTTGGCTTCAGATTGAGGTTTTCTTTTACAAAGCTGATTAGTTCAACTACCTTGGCTTCACATGCAAGGAATGAAGGAGCTGATCTCTTAAATACAGTTCAATATGGAGATTTGACATTGCTACAATAGAAGTTGGGAACCTAATTGTTGTTATATTTTGTAGGGTGGTGAAGGTGACTGCTTTTATGTTGTTGGAAGCGGAGAATTTGAGGTCTTGGCAACTCAGGTTGGTTTGTTTTGTTCCCTATGACCTTTGAACTTACCTTTCAGTTCAAATGTGTACATTGCTTGTCGGGGTTCAATGCTCAATCTAGTCATGTTCTAGTTCTCAGTTGTTGTTTTTATGTGTTATTAGTGAGTTCTTAGTTCATGATCAATGTTTATATTCAGTGAGATTTAAGTTTTTCACCAGAAACTATACTGGCAGGAAGATAAAAATGGAGAGGTGCCAAGGGTTTTGCAACAGTATACAGCTGAGAAGTTATCATCATTTGGGGAGCTGGCACTGATGTGCGTTCTTTTTCCTTTCTCATCTCATTGTGAATTAAGAACTCTATAAATCTATTTTCTGAAGTTGACAAATTGTTTTTCTCTGTGACAATTGAAATGTACATTTAAATACTAAAGTGAATTGATGACAAGTAACAAACCAGAATTAGAATAACATGTTACCACCATTTATTTGGAGTAAAAACAAAGCACTAATTTGGTGAATTTTCTTAACACCCATCATTCATGATTTGGAATATTTTGATATTTTTAGATATTTGTGAAACCTGTTGGTTTCTTAGGAATTCGGATATTTTACCACTCTTTCTGGCTAAAAATGTGGTGCAGTTTACCTACCATGATAATTTTGTTCTGTTCCTATATAGGTACAATAAGCCTCTCCAAGCCTCTGTGCGTGCTGTGACAAGTGGAACTCTTTGGGCACTAAAGCGAGAAGATTTTCGTGGAATTCTGATGTCTGAGTTTTCTAATTTGCCATCCTTGAAGTTGCTTCGCTCTGTGGATCTTCTATCAAGGTTGACAATCTTACAGCTGAGTCATGTTGCAGATTCTCTTTTTGAGGTTTCCTTCTCTAATGGGCAGGCCATAGTTAATAGGGTAGAAGTTTCTCCTTCTAACATTACCTTTCCTTCTGTTTGATTTTTTGTAGTGTATTTTTTGGGTTCACATTATTGTTTCTTATATTTCTCTTGTGTATCTGCAGAATGAAGGCCTCTCTGCTTTGTACATTATCCAGAAGGGCCAAGTGAGGATTAATTTTGATGTGGATTTGTTAAGCAGTCCTAATGTCTGCAGCCTCAAGTCTGATAATCCCAAAGAGGACAATGATCAACAGACTGGCAGAGAACTGTCTGTTGAAAAGACGGAAGGAAGCTATTTTGGGGAATGGACACTTCTTGGTGAACAGATGGGTTCTTTAAGTGCAGTTGCAGTGGGTAATGTCACATGTGCTGTTTTGACGAAGGAGAAGTTTGATTCAGTCGTTGGTCCCTTGACAAAGCTTTCCCAGGATGATCAGAAGTATGTCTTAGTCTCTTGCATTAACGTCGCATCCTTGTTTTTTTCTTTTTTCTCCTGTTAGAATGTGTTCCTTCTATAATTCACATGAAGCTTCCATTTTAGATTATGCATGTAAGATTTTAGAGTTCTCTAACTGAATTGCAATGTACTTTTTTTTCTTTTTTTTTTTCTAATTTGAATTTTTAATACTTTTATCGAGAATGATATTTTTGTTTTTGTTGCCATTTAGATCTAGAGACAATTCTCCAGATATGCCCAAAGATTTTGTCAAAGAAATTGATATTTCAACTCTTGCTAAAGTTAGCCTCTCTCAATTGGTAAGAAGTGCTTAGTTCTGCCTCCGCCTTTTAGTTTATCTGTGTTAGCAAAATATTATCTTCAAGAGATTTATATCTAAAACTCAGCTAATGTTATATGCAGGAGTGGAGAACATGTTTATATTCCACCGACTGTAGTGAGATTGGGCTTGTATTCCTAAGAGACTCAGGTTGGTTCCTTCTTTTATATATATATATGTCTTTGTTTTTTTTTACTCAGCAATGGTAATTTAAGAATAGGGCTTTTCCTTCTGTAACAAATATAGGTGTAAAAGTTAAATAATATGTGATATGTCTATTGATTATGCATGCTTAGGGGAAGAAACATGCCAAGTCATGTCAGGTGATATGGTATTATAGGATAATAAGCTTGTTAGGCAGTATGTGATGATTTTAGGTAAGTTTGTTATGGAGAAAAAACTGATGAATTTTTCCTTTGTACAAAATGGATTGATTACCAGAAAATTTGCTTAGTTTGAAGAGGTTTTCAAAGCAGAAGGTTCAAAAACTAGGAAAAGAAGCACAAGTTTTAAAGGAGAAGGATCTGATGAAGAGTATGAGTTCTGCAGCTTGTATGCCGGAGGTGCTATGCACTTGTGCTGATCAAATGCATGCTGGAATTCTATTGAATACATGCCTTGCCTGCCCTTTGGCTTCAATACTTCACACCCCTCTAGATGAACAATCGGCACGGTTCTGTGCTGCCTCTGTCATAACTGCCTTAGAAGATCTACATGAGGTTGGATTTCTAGAAGCTGTTCTTTTCTTTGATTTCATTTCCCCAATTCTTTGTGCATCTGTTATTTATTTCAGTTTTGTCTTTCAACATCCATATTTCATTTGAATTTCAGAATGGTGTCCTTTACAGAGGTGTTTCTCCAGATGTTTTAATGTTGGACAAAACGGGCTATTTACAGGTTGGTGCCATTTATGTGGTATTATACATTTTGTTTGCATGTATAGTTAAACTGATAAAATTTTATACGTGAAAAAATTTACCCTTTCTCTTACCTATGAAGGGTGCCAAATCACATGGAGTTAAGCTTAATTTTTTGTTCTGTTATGCTGCATTACAGCTAGTCGACTTCAGATTTGGGAAGAAGTTATCTAGCGAGAGAACATTTACAATTTGTGGAATGGCAGACTCTTTAGCACCAGAGATAGTTAAGGGCAAGGGCCATGGTCTTCCTGCCGACTGGTAAAAATGCATCTTATTCTCCATTTGCCTGGTTTGTTATAAACCTCTTCATGTTTTATTTAGCATGTAAAGGAACATGATTGAATAATTTGAAATTGCAACTTTACCTGTTTTCATAAAGAAAGAACATTTAATTTAACCGTGATTGTTTAGTTTAGTTAGTGCATTAAAAATGTCTTAACACTAATGGGATGTTTTTGTTGGCTTTCTGGAGGGTAAAGTTGAATTTGATAAAAGAAAAGGAGGACACCTGTTAGTTCTTTTACCTGCCACTTAATACACCATGATTTTTCATATATTTGTTCTTGAAGGTTTTGATGTGGATTTTAAAGATGTATTTCCATCAAGGAGGACCTGAGAATATGGGTGGGTTGGGTCTTAATTTACTGTTTCTTACCGATGGGGTAAAGAAGGTTTAGGCAGTTTGATGTTGTCTTCTTTCTCTTTGCCTCTCTTCCATGGCATTAGTCTTTTGAACTGTTTAACATGCAGGTGGGCACTAGGAGTCCTGATCTATTTCTTGCTGCAAGGTGAAATGCCGTTTGGATCTTGGAGAGAAAGCGAGCTTGATACATTTGCAAAGATTGCAAAAGGACAGTTTATTCTTTCACAAAATTTAAGCTCTGATGCTGTTGATCTAATCACCAAGGTCTTTTTATTACCAATTCTTCTTCTTCTTAAATAGCTCACTGAAATCATAGAATCCCTCACATGCTTTTGTTAATATCATTTTTCAGTTACTTGAAGTTGATGAAAATATAAGACTAGGAAGCCATGGTCCCACTTCTGTTAAAAAGCATCCGTGGTTTGATGGTGTTGACTGGGAAGGAATCAGAGACCGGAGTTTTCCTGTTCCTCACGAGTTAACTTCTCGTATAACTCAACATTTGGAAATTCATTCTGAGGATTGCCTTGTTGCTGTTGCTTCCCCACCTCAAGACATAGCAGAGCTAAATGCTCCAGAGTGGCTTGATGAGTGGTAGAGGAATGATATATATGGTTTTCCATCTTTCTGCCTTTTGCAAACGCTTTGCAAGTGGAGTTCCATTCTGTTTGGTAAGATTGACTACTCGAGTGTCGGAAACTGGAGCAGAGAAATCATTGCAGAAATTCAAGTGTAAAGTTGCAGGCCTTAGATTGCTTATGATTCTGTAAATTTTTTTTTGATGCCGTGAATTCAGAATAGCATCGGAAGAATATCTCAGTTAGGTGATGATGCTCTGTTACCAAATTAGCCATCTAACGAGTTCAGTGGATAGCTCAGTTAATAGGCTTTTGATTCTAAAATCTTCAATTTTTTACATATTTCCCACTTTTGTAAATAGGTAAATATGTAAATGAGGGCTCCTTGTACTGCAACCTTTCCACGTTACATTTGCTGTGGCAGTAGATAGTCAATTGATTGGCTTTGGGCCGTTTGGGTCAATCTCAGATGTATGGCATATGGTATGCTGTTTAATAGCTAGTCTGTGATTGACCTCTGTAATTCATATTGCAAAGTTATTCAACCATTTAGATTTCTGTTGCCTTTTAATTATCTGAAATCCAGTTACTTCATGCAAAGCGCAATCCCTTCCTTCCCAAGAGAAAAGAAACGTCTCCATGGACGGAAATTGTTGCGTTGGTTTTGGTTTTTTAACCAAAAAGACCTGCTTTTAATGATGAAAAGCCCAAAAAACCCAGGGTGTTTTCTATCCAGTCCACCGGTAAGCATTCGGTAAGGAGTCTAGAAAGAAAGATTGGGTTTGAAGTCAAGGCATGCCACGTGTTGGTCTTGTGGTGAAGGAAAGGAAAGTAAGTTTTCTCAGCGGGAAAGGAGGGACCCTTTTCTTAGTTCTATTGTCAACCAAGTTCTAGAGGAACCTTGTCGCCTTACAATAACGGAGCTCATTCTCAATGTTGTTGACGAATTGAGTTGACGAGTGTTTGACTGGCATAGCCAATCTGCTACCAGAAAATTAAGCAGCGTTTGCAGCAAGGAGGTAAACAATACTTCTATTACCTACCGCACTGACCAGTCTCCTCTGATGGAAAAATGAAGGTAAGGTGTTGTTTCAGACAATATGTAACGAAAAAAATAGTCTTTGGCCTTGAACACGTTTCGCCAACCATGAGTTTCAAAGTTGCATTTTATCTTCTGTATTGATTGCAATTTGCTGAGGTTTGACACCTGAAAGCAGGAAGATGGGGAACTCATCGTGGCTTCTATGTGAGTTTTGTCTATTAGTTGTACTCTGATACTTTTTGATTCTCCACTTCCCCACATGGACGAGAGGCTTTTTGAGGCTTCTCGCAAGGGTAACACCGCTACTTTGCTCCAACTTTTAGAGGAAGATCCACTTATTCTTGAAGATAATAGCAAACATGCCTCAGTTGAGACTCCTTTGCATATAGCATCCTTACATGGGCATACCGATTTCGTAACGAATATTCTCAGACAGAAACCAGGATTTGCTAAAGTCGTAAACAGCAAAGGCTACAGCCCCCTTCACTTGGCTTGTGTCAATGGGCATGTGGAAATAGTGAAAGAGTTGCTGAAAGTTGATGGGGAGAGTGACCATGAGCTTTGCAGACGTAAGGACAAGAAGGGGAGAACACCTATGCATTTGGCGGTGATTAGAGGGAGAGACAGAGTTGTTGCTTCACTGATCTTAGCTTGTCCAGAGTCCGTGAGAGAGGTCACGGATATAGGGGAGACAATTCTGCATCTAACTGTGAAGAGTGAAAATGGATGTAAAATGCTTAGAGGTTTACTTGAAGGGTTCAAATGTAAGGAGATGATCAACTGGAAAGATGAGGAAGGCAACACTGTTTTGCACTTGGCTGCTGTGAGGAAACAACATGAGGTAAGGCAATTGAATCAGTTTTGTGAATCCGCTATAGCATAATAAGAAAATACTCTAGTTAAGAAAATAGACACTTCAGTAAATTATAACTAGTTCAGTTACAAGTTGAATTAATTATTACTGTACTTTATTATAGTAGTTGAATGTATGATAAAAAACATTGCCCCAGTTATACGTTTTTCCTAATATTTGGGATTTAACTTCGGACACCATTGTATATCTTGACCTGGCCTTTTATGAAATACCATTATATATGCGTGCTTGAGCCAAGTTTGACTTTTGGGAACTTCAGGAGTGTTGTTTCATGAATCCTGATCTATCTGATCAGTCATAGATCAATTCTCAAACTATTTTGGGATACCATATCCTCACGGTTTACACTAATTTAGAGATTAGAGTTTTATTGGATATGAAGTTATGTTCAATGTGCTTCATGCAGGTAATAAAATTGTTGCTATTGCAACCTGAACTTGACGTGAGTGCAGTGAATTCCAATAAGTTGAAGGCCTTGGATATTTTGCTGAAAGGGCCTAAGCAATCCAATGATCAAGAAATTGTAGAGATGCTCCATCTTGCAAGCACTCCAAAAGCTGATAATCAAGAATTACCAGAACAATCTCAAGCAGATGAGACTGTTGTTGATGTAGATACAAAGGGGAAAGACTCAACCTCAAAAACGGATACCGCAAGTTCTTTTGAGTGGCTTGGCGAAATGATAAGAGGATTGATGGTAATGGCAGTACTAATAGCTACTGTGACGTTCGAAGTAGCATTAAATCCTCCTGGAGGACTTTGGCAGGATGGGGTTTCTGCTGGTTCTAATGTCACCAGGCTCATGAATAGCCGCAGACCAGGAAAAGCAATTGCTGGAGAAACCTCACCCAACAGCCTCACTTGGTTTATGGTATGGGACTCCATCGGATTTTTAGCATCGATGAGCATCATCGTAGTGTTGACAAGCCCCTCGAAGCTCAACGGGAATAAGATCAGGTGGGAGTACATTCGTTTAATGATGTGGGTGGTGATAGCTTCGGTTCACATGGTCTTCCTCTATGGTGTTCAAATAACCACTGCCTCGTATATCTTCAAACGAGCAGTGATAGCGCCTTTTGTGTTTTTCTATGGAGTTGTAGGTTTATTAGCCCTGCGTTCAGGATGTTCTTTATTGACTGAGTGGTGTGATCTGTTTAAGGAGTTATGGACAAAGAAAAACAGATAAGCTAAGCGTTTCGATTCTTACCGCAAATGTTTTAAGACAATATTGCCAAGGACAAATTTAACTGGAACAATCATCTATGTTCCATTCAAACAACCTTCTCTACTGCTGAAATTTGACCCATTCCTACTCTTAAGTAAGTCAAACCATAACGAAATTACTTGGTTAGTCATACATAATGACTTGGACAATAACAACCACAGGTGATTTAACGTGTTTGAACAAAGTTCCTTGTTCAAGGCTGCTGCTACAATTCTTTTTTTTTCCTTACAAGACAAGCAGAAGCATCTGGTTTTCTTTGCTTTCCAGGTAATAAATGTGATTTAAGGATTTTATATCAAGTGGCAGCTGAAGAATGCACCGCTGTAATAAATAGCAGGGAACCTTCAAAGATGATTTCATTAGATTCCGTGAGACAGGACAAGAAAGAGGAAGTCAGCTCTTACGTTGATACTACAAACAGATTAAGATAATACCTGCTCTTTCGCCAGCGATTTAGACAGGTAAAAAAAAAATTAAAAATGGCTGAAATTTGAGCAACCGCCATAGGTTTGAAACATATTCTATTGTGAAAGTGATGATGAGGTAACAGGAGATTAGATGTTTGTCTTTTTTTTTCTGGATTTATGCTAATTGACCCAAAGCAACAAAAAAAAAAAAAAAACAGACCATGGGTAACGAGCGAAGCAAGTTGGCATGCGTGTAACTTGTGATTAAACTTATAACAATTGAAATAAAATTGTCATATAAAGAAGAATAAGTATGCGACCAGTATATTGCAAGTTGACAATATGGAAGCTTAAATATTGTTTTAAATTTAGGTTAATTATATCTTAATCTCGTTGTTATTGTCTCTATTTAAACGTGGGGTTATGATAATAGTCCAATAATTGAATTATATTTGTTCCATCTATCTTGAAATTTTTAAGAATCACAACCGTGAAGGTTCTATATAAAATGACTTTGTTTGATATTTGGTAGTCAATACTGGTTAATACAACTTATTTATGTAAGGCTAGGAAATGTTGTACTGTATTTTGAGGTAACTTAAAGCCTTTGAAATTCCATTACTTTTTTGGGGTTTTACTTGGACAAATGACATGGTATCATGGGCAGGCAGATGTGATTCTCCAAACTAGATTCCTTGGGTCTGCCACTAAGGAAACCTTCAAAAAGTAAACATGCTTAATTCAGAAAACCTGGTCGGCAAGCAGGCTCTTTTTGCTTGAGTTCCATTATCTACCCAATAAGAAAACATCAAACATAGCATAAGATGAATTAAGCAGGTAGCTTTATTGGTTGCTGTTGGTTATGTAACAAAGAGTCTGTGCCTTCAATACAGTAATGTAATGGGTAATTCCTATATATCTTTTTGGACTTATGTCTATTGCAGCAACATAATCCTTTAGCAAAAGAAAAAACCAGAATGAAATTCGGGGTAAAATCAGGGAAAATAATCAAAGGAAATGTGTAGCTTTGCCGAACAAAAAGACTGCAACTCTCTACATGAAACTTTCTCCAGGAATCAACAGATTCATACATCTAAATCCTGTGTTGGATTCTGAGATTGTTGAGACCTTTCTCTGTTGGCAAACCATTGAACTGTTCTTCTGGCAATTGGCAACCACAGCCGCCTTATTCTTTCCTCCTTTGTATTGGTTTCAGACAATAAAGACTGAC